GGATCCTGATGTCCTCTGGAGCTTGAGAGTGAGAGGCCCTGTTTGTTTCACTGTATATGAAGAGAGATTCTTCTGGGATGGAGGTGAGATAAAAGGTTTTAGATGAGACAGGTGGACCCATTGAGGAAAGCCCTCGAGTTTAGCAGCTGTAGGAGTCACAAGAATTACCTTGAAGGGTCCCTGACACTTAGGGGAAAGGGGTGAAGGACGCTGACCCGGAGGGGAAAGAAGAACCTGATCCCCAATGTGTATTGGAGGTGGACAATTATTGTCACACGGCTGAGGTAATGAACAGTCTGCATAGCTCCATAGGATAGACCTTAGGTGACATAAAAGAGTAGTTAACAGGCTATTTGGAACAGTTGGAGGGTTGGATAAAAGACCTGGTGTTAGAACTGGCCTTCCATACATTAGTTCAAATGGGAAAATTGAAAGAGGCTTTTTAGGAAGAGCCCTGAGCCTGAGAAGAGCTAGAGGCAATAATCTTACCCAGTCGAGATGAAGTTCCTGTGACATCTTAGTAAAAATAGTTTTTAAAGACCAGTTGGTACGCTCCACCTTTCCTGAGGATTGGGGACGGTATGGGATATGAAAATGCCAAGGAATGTTAAGAGCCTTAGCTAGTGTCTGAGAAATCTGAGAGGTGAACTCTGGACCATTGTCAGACTGAAGAGAAGCAGGAACCCCAAACCGAGGAATAATTTCTTGGAGAAGAAGGTCTGCAACTGTCTGAGTCTGCTTGTTAGAAACCGGGTATGCCTCCATGAGAGGAGAGGCTGGCAATGGAAAGAACTGTTAAGAGTCCGTAGAGTGAGTGGCTAGGAGGAGAAGGGGAGCTGCTGGTGCGTCTGCAATGAGGCGAAAGTGGGGAGTGAAAGAAATGGATGCTCCCACCTTAGCTAGAAGATCCCTCCCTGTTAAAGGTACAGGGCAGCTTGGCACCACTAAGAATGTGTGTGTGAGAGGGATGCCCCTGAAAATGCAATGAAATGGTGGTGTCTGATGAGGTAGGTAAGGCTGTCCCCCAACCCCGACAATAGGGAGATGAGAAAGAGAGGTAGGCCCCCCAAACTCTCTCAGGACAGAGTAGGTAGCTCCAGTGTCCAAAAGGAACGAGATGGGGCATCCATTTGCTTTTATTATTACCCTTGGTTCCCTGTGTGAGATGGGAGTGGCCGGGGCGGAAACCGGGCAGCATCAGTCCTCGCTGTAGGCCAAGCCTAGAAAGTCAGCTGGAGGGTGGCCTTCATCTGGCGTTCCTATGTCGCTGGGCACATTAGGACAGTCAGCTGACCAGTGACCCTTTTGGCAGCACTTTGGACAAGGCCTTGTTGGTGCCCTTCGTGGGGCAGTGGTGCAAGCCCGGGCCCAATGGCCTTCTTTCCCGCTCTTGAAACAGGGACCAGACGGCTTTCAGGGAGCCGGGCGGATGGTGCTTGCCAGCATCTGGCAGTTCCTTTTCTGGGCTTTTTCATCCCTCCCATGGTACACCTTAAATGCTATCGCCAGCACATCTGCCTGTGGAGTCAGAGGGCCATTCTCCAAACATTTAAGTTTATCCCTAATGTCGGGGAAGCTCTGTGAGACAAAGTGGGTCATTAGCAGCTGCCTGCCCTCAGGGCTCTCTGGGTCTAAGCTAGTGAACTGAAGTAGAGCCTTGGTGAGCCGCTCTAAGAAGTGAGATGGATTTTCATCCGTATCCTGAATTACCATTTTTAGTTTTTCATAGTTGACTGGTTTTAGGGCAGCCTTATGGAGAGCTGTCAGGAGACAGGTAATTAACCTATTTCTGGCTAGACAGCCACCCTGTATATTATCGTCCCAGTGTGCTTCTTGGTCAGGAACCGCCTCAGCTCCTGGGTGTGTGTGAAAGGTTAGTCTGATGAATTTTGTCTGCATGGGTCCTAGCCTGTTCCCATAACCGCCTGAGCTCCTCAGGAAGTAAATTATTAGAAAGTATCATGAATATATCATAAAAGGTGAGACTATAAGATTGACTTATATATTGAAACTGTTTAATAAAGGAAGCAGAATTAGAAGTATAAGAACCCAGCTTACTTTCTATCTGAGAGAGTTCTGCTAGAGAGAATGGAACATGAACTTTAATCAGTCCATCCACACCAACCACCTCTTGCAAAGGGAGAACAGTGGAAGGGTTTGGATGGCTGGAATCAGGCGATTTAGCAGTTCAAGAATGGGTGGTAGGAGGAATAAAGGTCGGAGCCAGGGCAGGGCCTTTGGAAATGACCACTGCCGAGGGAGGAGCAGCTGCTGCCAAAGGACAATCAGCTTTAGAGGAAGAGGAATCCAGAAGAAGAGCTGAAGGAACAGTCGCCCTAGGAGTAGGAGTGGGGGCCGAAGGTCAAATAAGTGGAGGTTCATTAACAGGATCTAGAGTCAGAGATTCCGGAGTCAGAGAATCCTCCCGTTTAGGCATAGCTCGGAGCATATGAGCAGGAGAGAAAGAACCCTGAAGAGACGGTTTAGCATTGAGAAAGAAGAAAGCAACTCTTTCCATTTGCCTGCTCGCTGACAGAAATTAGAGAACTCCCGTAAAATATTGGGATCTAAGGAGCCGCTTGGTGGCCATTTTTTATTGTTTTCTAAAGCATATTTGGGCCATTTCTTAGTACAGAGATGGGTCAGCTTAGGAATCTTTATATAAGGCATTAAGCTGAGAGGTTTTAAAGCTTCAAGAAGACAGCCTAATGGAGAGGAAGGACTAATAGAGTTGGAAGCCTTGTTTCCCATGTCTGCAGCAGAGAGGCAGAAAAATAAAAAAATTGAAAAAAAAAAAAAAAAAAAAAAAAAACGTGATCTGGAGCCAAGGCCCCAGGTGTCCCCAAGGCCAAGGACAGATACTGGGCACAGGCTGCTACTCGGCTCGTCAGCCAGAGAAGCGGGGGCCCTAACTAACAGTGAGTCCATTACTTTTTAATTAAGCCCCAGATAAGTTCTTAGGACACAGACAGAAGGCAGCCATTTTCTTTGTCAAAACAACACAGGTATATCCTATAGCCCAATTACTGTTAAAGTCTTTGCTTCTCCCTGAAACCTCTTGACTCAGGCCTCTAGTCTGCTTGGCATTCAGCAGTACCATCTTCCAGACTCCTACTAGGGTGGCATTCTGCACTCTGACCACAGCATTGAACTGCTTTCCTAGTCTGGAGTTCCATAGTCTTTCACATCCCTTCAAAAACCTCAACATGGTCATGCTCTTTATAGCAACAGCCCACTCTCTTATACCAACTTTTGTATTCATTACTTTTCTATTGTTGTGATGAAGCATCATGACCAAGGTACCTTATAGAAGAATAAAGTTATTTGGGTCTATGGTTCCAGAAGGTTAGAGTCCATAATTGTAAGGACAGCATGGCAGCAGGAATCTGAGAGCTCACTTTCTTTACTGCCACCATGAAACTGAGAGTTAGAGATTTTTTTAAAAGACAGTATAACTTTTAGGCAAATTTGCTTGGATATAGAAGGCAATTTCATCTTGGAAATTGTGTTATTTTGAGAGCATGTTAACACCATTGTGGTGAGTTAATAGTTAAGAAGAATAATGTCAGGGAGAAATTAACTGTTCAAAATAACTTACTTTATGTATACCTTCTAAAATTATTTCTTGGTTATTAAAAAGTTATGAGCCGGGCGTTGGTGGCGCACGCCTTTAATCCCAGCACTCGGGAGGCAGAGCCAGGCGGATCTCTGTGAGTTCGAGGCCAGCCTGGGCTACCAAGTGAGCTCCAGGAAAGGCACAAAGCTACACAGAGAAACCCTGTCTTGAAAAACCAAAAAAAAAAAAAAAAAAAAAAAGTTATGTTGTGCCAGTGAGATGGCTCAGTGGATAAATGTGTCTGTTACCAAGCCTGACTGTGTGAGTTCAGTCCCTGAGACCCCAAGAGAAAAGCATCTCTTTCAAGTTGTCCTCTGACTTCTGCATAAGTATATACACATATATACAAACAATAAGTAAATAAAAACAGTAAAATTTTTAAAAAATTAATGTCTCCTTAAAAATACTGAAAATTGTAAAGAAGATACAGTGTTGATAACACTATACAAGTATGTAAAGCTTATTAATTGTGTTTTCTGTAGGTCTTCTATATAGGTTCTTTTGGTAAATGTGTTATAACCATTAGTAGTATTCATTTCTCTTTTTGTATAAAAGCTATATTTTATCTTACATTTCAGATACTACAACTGAGTTTGTTCACTTATGCATAAGTCTTTCAACAGTCGTCTAGTTGACCTGTCTATCTTTAAATAAAGTAAATAATCTGACATCAGAGTGTGACATAGAGGATATAATTGTACTCTTTTTTAGAATTACAGAAGACCATGTGATACAGCATGGGCTGGTAGTAGATGGGACCAGCTTATCTCTTGCACTCAGGGAGCATGAAAAGCTATTCATGGAAGTTTGCAGAAACTGTTCAGCTGTATTATGTTGTCGTATGGCACCTTTACAGAAAGCAAAAGTAAGTATATACCATAAAAAAATCCATAAAAATTATCTTCAAAAGAGGGAGGGAGGGAGGGAGGGAGGGAGGGAACAAGACAATTCTCTTTTAAAAGTTATCAACCTCAGCATTGTGGCACACACCTGTAAATCCTAGCATCCAAGAGGCTGAGGCAAGAGGATTGCAAGGTTGAGGCCATCCTCGACTAACAAAGTGTGAGGGAGGGAGGAAGAAGAGGAGGCAGCTGTCAAGTTATACATTAGGAAAGTTGAATCCAGTTCACTTTTTATCGTCATCATGTGTAAAGCTGGATATAAGAGATGTTTAAATTTCAAATGCCTAGGATGCAACCGAAAACCCACTCAGACAACTTTTATAGGTCTACAGTTTGGAATATTTTGAGCTCTTAGACTGTTTCCTTCAAAAACCATTCTTGGTAGAGGCTAGCAAGATGGCTCACTCATCAGATAAAGGCACCAGCTGCTAAGTCCCACTACCTGAGTTCCAGCCCCAGGTCGCACATGGAAGAAGGAGAGAGTGGACTCCCACAAGTTGTTCTCTGACTTCTCTTTGTGCACCCATACCTATAGACACACATGCATACACACATGAATAAATATAATCTCATAAAATTTTTAAAGAAATATCTTATACTATTCTTAGCAATACCAATATAATAAGTACTGGTTGTTCCTGCACACAGATATCCAGGTTTATTTAGACTCATGGAATTTTGTTACAGTACTTGTGTGTCCCAGTCTGTGGAGATTAGAACTAGAGCAGACATGTCTCTGCTCTTGTAAAAACATATCCAAGAATTCCAGAACAAGGGTCAGTGGGAATAGGTACTGTCAAGTAAGTCTAATGACCTTGATTCAGTACCTGGAACTCACATACAGGGTAAGGAGAGAACCAACTCCACAGAGTTGTTCTCTGACCTCCAAATACTGGCCATCTCATGTGCACCCACACACACACATATTTAAAAATATTTTTAAAGAATTCCAGATAAATTTGTTTTAATTTCACTTAATTTAATATTTTCTTAAATCTTGAGACTTATCTAATCAGATTAAATAGGTATCTTTCTTTGTATAGTTATTTTGTGTGTGTGTGAATTTTGTTTTGATAACTCAGTGAAGTATAGTTATTTATTTAAATAACTTATTAGTCTTATAAAAATTTTAGAATACATTTTAAAAATCTTCTCTTTCCAAAATCCAAAAATACAACTATTTTGTTACATTTGTGAAAGACATTCTTAAACCCTTAATCTCCATACCCCTCAAAGAGTGAACTTTACTGTGTTACTATCCAGCATGAAGTCAAATGTTGTCTTTACCACCATACAACTGCAGAAAATTTCAGGTGAAAGATATTACACAAATACAAGAGAGTTAGAACTTTATCACAAAGAATGAATTTATTGTATGTTTTTCAGGTAATAAGGCTGATAAAAATCTCACCTGAGAAACCGATCACATTGGCTGTTGGTGATGGTGCTAATGATGTAAGCATGATACAAGAAGCTCATGTTGGCATAGGTGACTGACTTTTTCTTGAATTTTAAAGTGGTGTAATTACTGGATACTTTTGAATTTTCCTTTTTGTAAAGTACAATTTCCAGTGTTTGAATGAAAACAAATACAATATGACAGTACATGATAGTATATCCCCATAAGAAACCAATTATTATTTAGGCCACTATTTACATTATTTTAATTCATATTTTTATTATTTTATTATTTAACACATGTGCACAATAAATTTTATTTAGCCCACTATTTACATTATTTTGATTATTTAATTAAAGGAAGTGGTATCACATTAGTGAGTTTTTTCTTTGCTTATTCTCCTAAATAATAAAAGTAATTTTATTTTTACATGCCATTTTGTACCTGACAAAGAACTTTCACACATCATTTTATCCTCTAAACTTACATAATTGTTATTAAGGTTTTAAATTCTTATTTTATAATTATTATTACTTTTATTTGTGAAACTATAAAGATTATTCTGTACATTTTTAGGGTAATTTTAGAGAAAAGAATTTATACCAAACATAGATAAAAAACAAAATTCTAATACTTTTGATTTTAATAATACATTGTTTTTTATATTCTTAAGACCATACTGTAGTTATCCCTCAAAAATATTTCTCTTGCTCCCATTCTTATTATAGAATCATTTTATTGGCTTCAGTGTACTGTTATTGTATTGTCAGTGGTTCACCAATGGATGGTTTACTACTTAACCTACTCTGACCTGTCAGTGTTACTTCACAAGTGAACAGGAAAGGGGAGTGTGAGGAGTAGTAGTATGTGGGTGGCTCCACCGAGGGTTAAAGTCCCAGCAGAGGAGAGGCTTGGCTGCCTTGTCGACGGTATGCTGGCATGGGTAGAGTTGAGGGCTGTAGTTTGTATTTATCTCTTAAAATCAATCCTCCCTGTTTGGGATAGTAAATAATTCATTTTGAAATTTCAACTTTCTTTGTGGTTTCTAAACTATTTCCAATAAATCTCAACTGTAATTTTTAAATAATTTTATCCTGTATATTAAGCATATGAAACCGATTGAGGAGCTGTGGAGACAGCCTGGTGGTAACATGGTTTTTCCCATGCATTCAGTACCTGAATTCAGATCTTTAGTAAAAGCCAACCATCTGTAACCCTGCATCAGCACTTAGGGTAGATCCAGACTGACCGCAGGGGTTTCTGGACAGCTTAGTCTAACTGAAGTAACATGTCCCAGGTTCAGTGAGAGACCCTTTGCAAAACACATGGCAGTGTGATCGAGAAGGGTGCTTTGTATCCATGTTTGTCCATTAGTTGCATACACATGCTGTACATGGGCAAGTGTGTGTACCCAAGTACGTATGTGTACACACATACAAGGAAGCATTGCTTAGTATAGCAAAGGAAAGTCTTAAAGCTTCAGTAAGAAAGCAACAGCAAATTATTTGTTTGACCAAAAAAAAAAAAAAAGAAGAAGAAGAAGAAGAAGAAGAAGAAGAAGAAAAGAAAAAAGTTGTATGTCTTTTTCAGTGCCTTTACCAAAACAAATTCCAGATGAAATAAAGATTTAAATAATTCTTTGAAGCCATAAAAGGTAACTGAAGAAATTTTTATGAGTAATTTTGTTATTTGAATTATGGAAAGATGTTTGAAAAGAAATTTTCATTAACTATAAGGAAAAGATCACTGTTTGTAGCAGAGGAATAAACTCCTTGGAAAACAGTTTTAAAGACAAACAGTAAAGAATAATTAGAAAATAGATAGCAAGGCCTTAGTCCTCATGATGTAAGATGTCAACACACTAACAAGAGGAAGCACTTGATAGACACATGAGAGGAGGTGAGCCATCTGCTAGCATAAAATGAAAAACATTGAAATGAACACCAAGTGTATGAAAACAGTCTCTCAAACAAAAGTGCAAATTAAAATTATCTGATTGCAATATGCAATAATGATAAAAATAGATAAATTTGGAAAAATTATTGAGAATATAAATTGGTACACCATTATTATACAAAACAAAAATTTTAACTATGTGCCATTTAGCCTTCCAATTATGTGTGTAGGATTTTATTGCAGGAAAGTAAACATTTAAAATAATTTGTATTCTTTGACAGTTTCTACATGTATCCATATATAATGTATTTTTAATCATACTCATTCTCCATTCTGCTTTCTGTCCCACTCCCCCTGAATTCTTCTCAACATGTCACCCAGGAAGTCTCATGTCTTTGGACTCTTGGTTTTAGGTTTTGTTTAAGAAAATAATTGAATATATCCATAAAGGTGTATGTGTGTAGCAAGATGTAGTGGTCCACATCTGTAATCTCAACCCTTCAGAGATGCTGGATACTGAGTTCCAGGCCAGCCTGGCTACACAGCAATAGTTGATCTCAAAAATAAATACATACACATGTACATGCATACATACACATAATAAACAAATGCAAGTGAAAAGCAAATAATCACATTTGTGGATGATTGTTTATACATTAGTTATATATGTTAAATATACAGTATGCTGGAAGAATTTCAGCAATATAAGCTTTAAAAACTGGTTTTCTCTAGGTGTTGTAAATAAATTATTTTCTTTGCCTACCAATTAGAACATTTTTGTTTTCATGACAGAAATTTTAATTTAAAAAATATTTTTTTAATAAATATGGTAGATATTTTATTGAGCTATCTTTTTTATTTATTTATTTATTTTACAATACTATTCAGTGGAGGGGACTGGACCTGCCTGGACTGAGTCTATCAGGTCAATCTCAATCCTCGAGGGAGGCCTTGATCTGGAGGAGGTGGGAATGGGGGGTGGGCTGGGGGGAAGGGGAGGGGGCAGGAAGGGGGAGAACAAGGGAATCTGTGTCTGTTATGTAGAACTGAATAGTATTGTAAAAATATTTTTAAAAGTTGCTTTGAGATACAAAAAACATGGGATTTTTATCATTTTATTTATTTATTTATTTATTTATTTATTCATTTATTCATTTATTTATTTTCAGGCAGGGTCTCACTGAACAGCTCTAACTGGCTAGGAACTCACTATGTGGATCAGGCTGGCCTTGAACTTACAGAAATCTTCCGGCCTTGGCAGTTTTTCTTCCTCTTTTAGAACTTAAAGGGTTATCATAAAGTTAAAACAAACAACAACAAAAAACCAACAAGCACTTGGGATTGATGTGGATAGTAAGGGAAGGGCTTAGTTTCATGTGTGCCTTGACAGCAGTAAGACTCCAGCAAAACATGGCAAGTATACTTTCTTCTAGAAGAGCCAGAGGTGACCAAAGAAGGCTGATCCCATAGAGACATTGAAAATCATTAGATGTCAGTAGGACGTGGGATGGGACGGAGAGCTGAACCAGTCTTACCTCCATCATCTCTAAGAACCAAATGGTATTCTGTCACAACAGAATAGTTCTCAGCAAAGTATTTGACTGAGATGACTATTGCACAGTTGGCAGAAAAGCTAAACTTTCTTTTTTTGGTTTTTCAAGACAGGGTTTCTCTGTGTAACAGTCCTGGGTGTCCTGGAACTCACTTTGTAGACCAGGCTGGTCTTGAACTCACAGAGATCTGCCTGCCTCTGCCTCCTGAGTGGTGGTATTAAAGGCATGAGCCACCACTGCCTGGGTGAAAAGCTAAATTTTTAAAAGCAAACAATCTTTGTGTTTGTATTGTGGCCTATGAAGAGTCCTGGTGGTTAAAGAGCAAAATCTAGGTCCCTTCCACAGAGCCGTGTGTGTGTGTGTGTGTGTGTGTGTGTGTGTATACCAACCTCAGATGATGTTTTCTTTAGGAGATATGTCCTGATAAATATGATTTTTGTAGCTTATTTACTTATTTAAATTATTGGGAGTGGTATAAGAAATATTTTGGAAATGGTTTGATTTTGCAGGGTGTTCCTAACTGCAAAGTGTCTCTCCACATGAATAGTAGATGGACAAACAGCGGGTTCTAAGCTTCCTCCTGAAAGTTAGAGGCTGGGTTGGCACTCTGGTCACTGATGTTAGCCAAGACACGGAAACAGCTCTCTCCCTTGGGAGTGCTAATGTGGCTGAGCTGTGTCTGGGTGCTGCTGGGACATGGTATTCAGAAAAGCCCTGGTCCCTGGCCAGAGCCTGCCTTCTACTGAAGGCCATTTATAATTGACCAGCCTTTTCTTGCTCGATATGGAACTCTGGCTTCTGCTCTGTGACTCAGATGAGCCTGGATCATCCAGTGTTGTGTCTTGTCTAGTTGCTGTCTAGCGTCTAAGTGAACCTTCACAAAACCTTTGTTTTTAGTAATGCTTCTCAATACAACACCACATCACCACATGTTTGTTTTCACTGTCCTGTTCTTTTTTTTTATTATCAGTTTTGTTTAAGAATTTTCAACAGTTACAACTCATTAAAAAAAAAAAAAAAAGCACACAGGACACAGAACTAACTGCAGCAAACGGCATCCTTATGAGCAGCTAACAGACATGAGAACCACCACCCCTCTCTGTGACACCTGAGCTCACTGGTGAACTCTGCCTCCACGTTCTCCTGCAAAGCACACCACAAGCTCAGTCCATGTTCACAGTCCATCACCTTCAGCTCACATTCACCCCACATTTCCAGATCAGTAGTGGGAAGCAGCACCACACAGTATCCACAGCAGGTGGCCCGGGGAGGGAAGTACAAGTATGTCACTGACCACATTCAACTATAGAGGGGCTTGTTTTTGTTTTTTCTGTTTTTTGTTTTTTTTAAGACAGGGTTTCTCTGTGTAGCTTTGGGGCCTGTCCTGGAACTCGCTCTGTAGACCAGGCTGGCCTCAAACTCACAGAGATCCACCTGTCTCTGCCTCCCTAGTGCTGGGATTAAAGGCATGCGACACCACCGCCCAGCCTAAAGAGGGTTTTCTAAGTACAGAACTCAGAGTCTTCCAACAGATATGGCTGTCTTGATGCAAAAACATTGGTGCATTCTTTGCTGTCATTGCTCTCTGTACACTTTCTCACCAAAGCCACAGGACTGAGTGACACATCTGTCCGAGTTAAAAAATACCCATTTTGCACCACCAAGTCTCTACACATGCTCTCTCCTTTTCTCTCTCTTACTAACCTTTCATGCTTCGGTACTATCATCAGCACTTCCGTCAGCCCTGCTCTTGATGTACAGTAAGTATCAAGGCCATGGGATGGCCTGGTCCCCAAACTACTTACCTTCATGGGATGGCAAAACCCAGCCCTGGAAACACTGGGAGTGAGCCCTCCCTACACCCATTCTGAGCAACCTGGAGCCTAGTTAAGTGTGACTAACAACAGTACAGCCTTCAGCTTGGCTTTCTCTAGCCTGCCTTTCCCCAGGAGGAAGAAAAGCCTGGCTGGAGCAATTGACATCTAGCTGTAGCCAGCAGGTCCAGGTCTGAGGGATTAGGCCAAGTGATGCTGTCTTGGAGCCAAGGTGCTGGTGGCTATGGGAACCAAAACCATGCTGGGCCCTGAGGGTCCTACCTGTGTTGCGATTATCTGCCTGTTACCCTAGAGTTCTACAGCTTGAGTGTCCTGGGTTGCTGTGATGTGGTGGGCACTTTGTGGCTGAATTCTTTTGGTATTCTAATATGGAAGTAAGTTTCCTGTGCACCTCTATCTTAATCATAATTCACTTCTGTACCTAAACATAGATTTAAAACTCCCACCATCCTCAGTGTCTGTTGTGTTGTTGCTTTGACTCTTAGCCTCTGTGGTCCTCTACTGTCCTGAGTAATACAATAGATTCTGTGTGCATGTACATTCACTTAAGTACTTCTGGAAGAGACATCTCTCTCATTCATACTCAAACTTTATTTTTCTTTTAAATGGGGTCTATGTAGCCAGGTCTGGCCTTGAACTCTTTGTGGACCAGGCTGTCCTCAAACTCACAAAGCTCAACTTGCCTCTGCCTCCTGAGTGCTGGGATTAAAGTGTGTACCACCATAATCCTCACTGTAAATTTTTAAAAAGTATTTTTACTCTTAAGAGCAAAAATCATCTTATTTTGTAGTTTTGTATGTAAGACCTATTGGATTTTTTTTTTTTTTTTTTTTTTTT